ATTGTACTCTGACTCTCAGCAGCCTCGAACTTGTGTGTCAAAGTTCACAAAAGTTTTATTTTAAGAGGTGATTCTGTTGACACACGTTCAACTTGACAATCCATCCATTAGTTGTAGGGACATTTCACAAAATGCCACCTCGTTGTGGCATGATAAGAAAGGTTAAGGGATCACAAAGTAAAGAGGACTGGCTGTTGGGACACAATTGATCACAATGGATGTCCGTAGCAAAATTCTTCAAACAGTTGTTGACTTATTTCAGTCCGGCCCAAAGTAGAAAATGGTTGAACATTGCTGTTGTTTTGAGCCTTTAAGCTATCATGGCTAAAAATAATAGCAGATGAGAGACAAAAAGTGAAGTAAATCCTGGTTGAAATGGGTATTTGTGTACAGAAAAGATGAATAACTCTTGAGATACTGTATATTCTGCTTCTTCTGTGGTAAACGTTACGTAACACTGAACCACCCGATCGGACCTGATGATGAGGAACTCACGGTGATGTGGAACAGTCACATATGCAGCTCAACACCAGTGGGTAGAACAGAAACTGGCCTGAGCGACTGCTGTGCTCTTGAACTCTGGCATCTAGTGTCATGCTAAGGAAAGGGGCACTTGCAGCGCCTCCGCAGCCCCGTTGTCAGGCTGCATCCGACAGACTGCGGTGAGGTGAAGAGACAGGCAACACGCCAGCGAAGCATCCCCAGCCACATGACTCAACCTCTCCCTGTGCGTTAGCCCCGGCTCAGTCAGGACCGTGAGGGAACAAGGCCGCTGGTATTGAGTCACTGACACACTGGACGGTTCCCAGCTGAAGCAATATGATGGGGAAGAGAGTGGGGGAATCACTGCATGTTGTATACTTGTATTTTATTTGGTACTTTCATCCACTTATTGTTTTATCTGTTCACAGTATCGACCACAAATTAATGACCTTTTAGCCATTTTGGCCTGTTTCTCTTTTCCAACGACCCAATGGTCTTTTAGTTTTAGTTTTTTAGTTTTAGTTTTAAAACCTGTATGTGCACAGGTATGTACCAAACAATTGATGTAATGTTGTTTAAATGCAGAACTGGATCTGTTAACATTGGTATGCAATGATTCATTAACGTTCTCCTCAAAAAAGAAATTCGGCCAACTTAGCAAACTTGATATGAAACACAGAGTAAAAAGAGTTTATATAAATATGCTGTCTTTCAGATTGTAGCCAGAAGGCTGCAGCTCTAGTGGACACAATGTTATTTTTAACATCCAAGGTGATACACAGGCTTTGTGCTGACCCTTTGGATAACAGGTCTGAGGAGGTTGGCAGAGCAGCTGGCAGGATTCAGTTCAATGTCAGCTGTTATTGACAGCCAGACGGCAGCGAAGAGAAACCGATATTTAGCCACGCTTGGGGCGCAGCGGGAACCGACAGCGGCCGGTCAGTGGTACAAGCACTTTGGTAGAAACTGAAATATCTCATCCACCGTGGAGACTCTGATGATCCCCTGACTTTACTCCTGACACCATCTATTGAAATAGCTTCACAATAACCGGAAGCACTGGTCCAGAAGTTTGCACAGATACTTATTTGATTTGCCCAAAGCTTTGGTTTTTGACCAGATACTTAAAACTAAAGACACTCCCATCAGCTCCAGCTATACTTTTGTGTTCAGGTCAGATTTTAAATAACTCTACTATAGTTTTAGTCCTAGTTCTCATAGTCATAATAATAATAAACTTTGTTAATATAGTACTTTTTAAAGGGCTTTGCAAGACAAAATTATAAAAATTATTTTAAAAAGCAGTTTGAATTTCTAGTTACCATTAATGAAAACTGAGATAGAACACAACAATATAAAGTAAATAAAATAATCAGTTAAAATAGGTGTTATAAAGTGACTTAAAAGATAAAAGAAAGTTCAGGAGACAGTCTGATCTCCTGGGGGAGTTTGTTCCATAGAGAGGAGCCATAACAGAAGAGGTCCAGTCTCCCTTGGTCGTGGAGCTCAGGTCTTATCTACAGTATCTTAAAATCAATTCTGACGTAGTCTTAGTCATGTTTTCTTTAATTTGTTTAGTAGGTGCTTGTGCCATGTTGAAATATAAGAATACCAGAATAGGATAAGTGTAACTGGTTGTGCTTTTTCTTCTAAGCTGCATGTTGACTCCAGTAAAACACTATGTGCATGTGAGCAGGTGGCTGTGTATTTAGTGGGAGGAAGCGTTCATGAGCATGATGGGCAATTTAGCTCGACGGTTAAAGCATCTATCTCTAATTTGGATCTCCCCCGCTGAGTGAAGATGCTCAGGATAACAACACCAAGGGCTCATTAACGTCACTTTAAGACATTTCAGAGGAGGTTCTCTTTCCAAGCCCCGCATTCTCCTGTCTCATGGAGATGGCAGACAGATGCATGGACACACGTGCACGCTGACCCAAACACATACACACACGTGGACTCGCAGAGAGACACGCGCGCTCTGCAGTAGCCTGATAAGCCTCACGCCTCACCAATTGGCCCCAGCAAATGTCAAGCTGAAGCAATTGGTGTGCTGATAGGGAGTGGGTGGGAGTGAATGAATCCAAAATTTCTCTCAGTTACGTTTGCACATGTTGGAGATACCTAAATTAAAACAAGTCTGCAATAGAGACATAATCTTTCAAATCCCTCTACTTAGAGGGACGCGATGAAAAACGCAAAGCAGAAAATTTCAAATCATCTCCTCAGCCGCGTCCAAGAGACGAAGCTTACGTCAACAAAAAGCGGCTTATAGCACGTCTCAGGGGAATACTTATCTCCAAACCCTGGATCTGCTTAAAGTTTGGGGAGGATGAGAGATGAAGCTAGAGTCAAACGTTCAAGCGTCTCGTACGGTCCAGAAGCTGCTTCGTCACAAATTAACACCGGGCCCCAGAGTGAGTGTCCTGTTGGGTGGGTTGTTCCGCTAAAGTCACCATCAAAAATAAAAAACCCAGAGGAGGACGGGGGTTTGTGTTGCTTACACAAGCACAATAGTTTTAGCGAGGATCACCCAGTTTTGCTGGATGAGGCAAAGAGAGGCTGCCAAGAGAGTTTTTCCACAGGCTTGTGTTTCTTTCGGGGGCTTACCTCTGATGCCAGTGAGACTCTGACCTTGATAAACGACTTGAAAAAAAGGACGACTCGTTCATGAGCAGCATTAAGCAAAGATGGAAGAGTTATTCACTGATATGATAGTTTGACAGAGGTTAATTACCTCCACCAAGTTTATGTTTTCGTCTGCATTTGTTAGTTTGTTGGTTGGTTTGAATGTTTGCTTGTTTGTGAGAAAGATTACACAAAAAACCACGGAACTGATTTCCACAAAACTGGGTGGAATGATGAATTATGGGTCAGGAAGGAACCTGGACCTTGATCAGGGGGCGGAACCAGGAGCATTTCTCTTTTCTCCTTTAACATGTGAGATAAGGTGTTTTGTTTGTTTAATTGTTCACAGGATTATACAAAACTTTAATTGAAATGATTTTGACGACATATAAATATGTTTAACCTCTGGTTTTATCTCTTTTTAAAATATAAGAATGGGCGAGTTTGTGTTTCTCCTTGAGGACTTCAGCAAAACTAGGCTACAGATGTTGCAGACTCCCGGGCAGCGTTCACTTTCAACGGTTTCAGCAGTGAAAGCTGTTTCTCGCCGTCCGGAGGCGTTTGTCTTTGACGTCGTGACATGAAGTCTCTAATTTGACGATGTGCTCATACGTCCTGCAAGCAGAAAACAGTCTGTGCTAGTGTTCAGCTGCCCCGTGGCTCAGCTGACCTCTGCTCAGGCACCGACCCTCGCTCTTAATTGTGTCTGGAGGAGTTTGGTTGTCTTAAGACAGGCTTTGAGTTAAGACCAGAGGGCTTCCTGCCTGGGCTTAACCACCAAGAGTAGCTGAACAAACAAGATGCTCCGACACAGCACAGTGTGGCGATCGAGTCTCTTTCTGTCACTTGAATCAACTGTCATGCTGATTTACAGCATACAACAAATTACTAGATTCAATTGAGTTCATTCATTTTGACAGGTAACAGTGTGCTGACATTTAGCTTCATAAGCATCAGAGACTGAGTAATTGTTCTTTTTGACATGCTCCCATATCTACATCTCTTCACACCCTCAAAACTTTTGTTCTTGAACTCTTAACTCTGCGTTTCAGACTATGTAAGAGATGGACCCTCCGCGACCCATGTCGAAGGCAAATTACGTCCGAAGAATGTCATGAAATCAAAGTGAGCTCTTAAAAAAACACCGTAAACATATTGGTTTTCACAGTTTAGGCCCGGAAGCCGTGTTCTTGTCTGTCACAGTCACAGCGGAGCCTAATTTGCCCTGGATGACTTCCCGCCGCTGATCTGAGCTTTGTCATGATATGTTCTAACACCCGTCCCCCCCCGACTTTCTGCCTCCATATCTCAACATCTTCACTCACATCACAGGGATAAAAAAAAAAAAAAACACATCTCTGCTTTGATTTTGAAACAAAATGATCTCCCGCTTCATTTGGCATTTACTCCAGCTGTATTTTCACCCCCCCACCCTCTCAATGATCATCTCGGCATTGATTGCCTCTCTGCATTCCCATGACTAAAGGCTGGTTTCTCTGGAAAATGAAGTATTCAAGTCGACATCAACCAGTTGATCAGTGAGGAAATGCAAAAAGCCCATTTTTAATGAAAAATCATGGCCATTAAGAGAAAAAGCAACAGATGTTCTTTAAACTCACATTAGTTATTTAAATGTTTGTTTTAAATCACTGCAGGACGCTTTTGTCATTTGTTGAAACATACAGAACATTTGAACACATGTTGCATGCATGAATCAAATAAATAAACTTTTCAAATCTTCAAATCAGCACATTGATAACATGACATGATATAATACAACTATCTATCAACAGCTACATCATTTTAATAGACACAATAAAATGTATGTGCACTGACAACACTTTCACTTTGTTCAGACAACAAGATATAATATCAGATTTATACAATGATGTTCTTTTCCCAATCATCACACTGAGACACAACACATCTTGTGACACTGTCTGCCATTCAACACAATCGTAATCTCATTGTGGCGTTTCCATATTTGCCAAACAAAAATACCTCTCCAGTCTTTGAAGCACAACATCTTATCATACACACAAAGCAATCGCAACATAAATCTGAACAGCACATTTACAAACGCTGCCGCCGCCGTGACTTGGATCTCCAGACTGGAATGTGAAATGACAGCTCAAAAATGAGGTGAGGCACCGGCACTGTCAGAACTGTTACGGCACCTCAGCGTGACACATGGCAGTGACTGACACCGTTACGTTGCTCATGTCCGCCCTGAGCAGCAGCATGTAGGCACAACTGCGTACAACAGGACGTATGGATGAGAAGGTGGACAGTTACCGATAGCCACAGACACACAGCCTGACACGCAGTGTCAGCCCTGACCTTAAAACAAGAAAAGAAAATCTGATTGTGAATCAGTGGCTATGGGCAACATGAACCTTTCTGTGGGAGCTGAGCGAAAGTCAGGGACTGAATGTCTTCTGGCTGTGATCTTTCACCTCTGAGCCCACGTCCTGTCCGGTCCTCAGTCGGCGTAGAGGATGAACCCTGAGAAGGTGCTATATTTGTTGCTGTTGCCCCCGTGAGCTTTGCCACCGTCGAGTTTTATGAAAACCTCATCGCCTGCATCCAAATGAAGAATGACACTGTTGCTGGCATAGTCATAACTCTGGTCCTGGTCTTGGGCGATGGCGCTGGCTCTGACCTGGAATATGAGACACACACACACAATAATTTGTGAAGGGAAGGGAAGAAATTTAAATGATGAAATTCTGAAGTAACAGATTTACAATAAAGAGTTGTTAGAATTCATTCCTTTACAATTCCTTTGAAAACAGATCTCTCGATGTAAAAGAAATTGATAAAAGAAATGCAATCAATCCCTGAAATTTGATGGGTCCTTCCCTCGCCCATATCAAATTCCTCACCAAGTTTAGAAAATCTGTCCAGTCGGTTTTTGCGTAATCGTGCTTACGAACAAACGAATGGGCAGCGGTGAAAACAGAACCTCCTTGGCCCAGAATGCTCACGACATTTGACCATGACTGGACCATAAACTCTTCCTTCAAGAAAAGACGACTTGCACAAAGTTAGTACAGAGTTTGAGGCTTTGACTTTGTCTAAGTGTGTCCCCTGTGGTGGATATCTTGTTTTTTCCTCTCATGACTCAACTGAAAGGGTCAGGCTTGAGTCAGTCTGCCTCTGAGGAAGGATGGCAGTGCATCCTATCCCTTCGCCTTATGTCCGACCCCTTACTTCCACATGTCCCTGGGCGGAGCGGACAAAAATGCCACATTTTAACCATACATGGGTGTCATCGTGTCAACACTGGATAATTACTGAGGGTGTTAGAAGGGGAGCATAACACCCAAATCTCTTTTTGCATGTCCGTATAAAAAGCCAAACCGTGGGAAGTTTGCTGTGTATGTACAGTTCACTGCTGATGGACATATCCCCCTCTAAGCTTCTGCTAGTGTGTAATCAGCAGGGTTGCCAGGTTTGGTGTTCCGCTGCAACTTCACCAGAACGACCCTACAAGTAGTAATCCCTGCTTCAGATTCAATCCAGAATGGTAACGTGGAGTTCTAATTAGCGCCGCTGGAGTATAAAAGTCAATGTGAGGAGGCCGTAGGGTCTGAGGGGAGCGGCTGAGCCACAGATGACAGCATGATGATGGATTTCTGAGACATGGGGACAATGCAGCCTTTAGTCTCGCTTCTTTGCTTTGGCTTAAAACCCCAGGACTTTCTATTTATAATGGCATGTTGTCACCCCTGTCCATTTGGTTGTTGTAGGTTTGTTTTCGAGCAAGATTATGTAAAAATTACTGTACTGATTTCCACAAAATTTGGTCGAAGGATGTGTTATGAGTCAGAGGGGAATCCATTTAATTTTGGTGCAGATCCAGGTCACAAAACCAAGCATGGTGAGGTGACTGCTATTTATGGATGTTGTGAATTTAAATGTGGTTTCATAAGGGGACTTTTGGGCCTTGGTGCAGGTATGTGCTCTACTGAGAGACATTCCAGTTTGTTTGTCTGTCAGCACGATTACGCAAAAACTACCAAACAGATTTCCACAAAAAGAAAGGAGGGGACGTTCAGGGCCAAAAAAATATTTTGATACTTATGTAGATGAGGGGTAAGATCCAGGATTCTTTTTCCTCTTTCTTTAAAATTGTGATTTTTAATAATTTATGGATCTTGAAAAATTGCAACTTGATTGAAATCAAGGGTACTGTTGGGTCTTTTATGCACTCAAGTACTTTATGTTTGAACAAAGGGAAATTGAACTTGTAATGCAAGTAATTCAATCTGCTCTTACTGAGTTGGTTTGCATATGTTTTTGAAAATGTTCCTCATCAAACACATTGCAGATTGTATTTGTGTTTGGTTACGTGGTAAATGTGTTGCAACCATAAGCAATGAGTATTTCGATTTGTTGAAATGCTCGATGCTGCTCATGACAATAGGATCATTGTTGCTTTCAAAACCAAACTTTATCTGTTGGTGTTGCACAGTATTTACATTGGCAGTGTCTGCTGAAGGGAGCAGACAGAGGCAGAGAGTAAGAGCTGGGGGAGGCATCTTACAGAAGTCTCTTCAAAACAATGCAGTCCCCCAGGTGAGTCATTGTGATTAAAATAACTAACTGCAGTTCTTACACACGCTGTTAAACACCGTGCTTCTCATTTTCTTTGGTTTAAGTTGAAACTAAGCAGGTTTTATGGACTGTTAATGCAAAGCCATGTTTGTGATCAATTAAATCTACCTCAATTGTTGCACATTTTCTTAAAATTGTTAGTGGAATCTTAAGAATGTCAGTGAAAGGTTGTTCTTTACTGTGTTCAATACTATGCATATGATAACCTTGCAATGAGTACTATATGATAGTGTTTAAGAAAGGTTTTTGGGATGTGGTGCTTTTATCTTGGATTGCAGTTAAAATTGGTATTTGTAATGTGGCTGTTCTGCATCATAGCATTCAGGTGTTTAAGTTATTGTGTCCATCCCCCTTCAATTTCTCTCGCCGTCCGCTTGAGATGCTTGCAGGAAAATGTCAAGATTAACATGGTGTTTGATCAGTGTCATCACCTGGGGCTTTTAAGACATTGCAAAATGATCCACGAATATAGCAAATATCATGATTTGTTATTGGAGCGCCCGGGCCCGACAGGCTGTCTGATAATGCACGCTCGCACATCATGGCTCCGTGAAGTTTGTTGTATTTCAAAGGGCACCAGCTTTGAACTAGCCACTACCTCGGGCTATGTTTTGATGTGTGCAGAGTTGAGATAGCACCACGGCTCCTTCCACTCTCTTCAACGTGTACATCACTGGATGTGTAATATGCACAGATACACAATCTGGCAGCATGCCACTGTGCATTGTTATTATACTTGACTGTAACACTAGACCAAGTCAGACCTAAAATCACTGCACACATGAATGCATGACTACTCAATTTAGACTGCCAGCACACAGGTTGCACTGCTCCCTGAGCATTTTGATGTGGGTTCATCCCAGTGTGTGATTCAGGGTTCAAAGCACATTATGTCAGTAACAAGATCATTTTGTACCATTTGCATTTTGAGAGAAAGCTTTTTTCCATTTGTTAAATTCAACAATAAGGTTTGAACATTAAGAAGTGTGAGTTAAAGGTTACCCACCAGACCGTTCTTGATCAGGTCAGCCCACATGCTGGTGCCATCTCCTCCTCTCATCAGCACATTGTAGATGAAAAAGTAGGTGCCAGGGATCTTACAGGTGAACTTTCCCGTCGCGCCCTCATAGTTACCTCCGATATTAGTCACCACGTCATCAAACCGCAGAATATCATAACCTTCTTGAGGGTTTCGTAGTCCCGCGTAAAATGCTACCCGAGGTGAGGTGTTGTAAGTGGTTGTGCTGACTGCCCCTTTGCCCCCTAAGCCTAAAATCCCAGTCCGTACTATGTCCACACCATCTCCCGGTGGTCCCTTAGMTCCTGGTGGACCTGGCTCTCCAGGTGGTCCTGGGGGTCCAGGCTTGCCAGGACGTCCTGCTCTGCCTTGTGGGCCATTTGCACTGTAGGTAGGCAGCGGCGGGCCGATGCTGTGATCACTCAGATCTGCCTCATCTCCCACCTGTAGGCCTGTGGTTGCTGTGTCTGTGCCCATGTGCACACCGGTGCCAGTCGTGCCCGTGCTGGGAAAGGGGTCACAAACCATGCGGCAAGAGCCCAGCATCTCGTAGTGGCTCGTGCTGTCATCTGAACCACCTGTGCCAACGGAGCTGACCAGCACAGGGATGAGGACCACCAGAACCAGGACCAGCATGACCCCCACAGCAGCTGCCACCAGGGTCTTCCGCCCGATGCTCAGCCGGGGAAGGGGCTGCGCTGCCAGCGTGGAACTCTCTGGGGTAGAAATGGTGACTGTGGTATGTGCGTCCACCTGGCAAAACGCAGAGTCTCCGAATGTGGAGATGGTGCCCAGGGAAAACCGGTGTGAGTGTGTGAGTGAGTGACAGAGCTGTGTAGGAGTAAGAGAGAGGGAGCGGAGCAAGGGACTGAAGTGGTGAAAAAGGAGAGAGAGATTGAGAGGGTGAGGAGAGAGAGTAAGTGGAGAGCAGCAGGGAGAGAGTAAGACAGCTTGAGAGAGAGGAAAAAAAGAAAAGAAGCGAGGGGAGGAGAGTGAGCAACATGCACTCAGTAACCATCTGAGTCAGGGCTGAGGAGGGCACTTCCCTATACTCACAGATGTGAGGAGCCACGGGGTGACAAGGGAGTGGGAGATATAGAGCATAGATAGAGGGAGAACAAATGGAGGTTTTTATGTTAATTACTTGATGAAGATAGAGACAGAGATCACTGGTCTATGAAACAGTGACCTTTTCAAAATAAAGCAAACTTTTAGAGGGGCAATTCAAAAGCAAAAAAATATTTTTCACTACAGCATTGATCTTTAATTACCCAGCACAATGTTTTAGCCAGAAGATTATTTTTCTTGCCCCTGTCTATGTGTCTGTTTAAGTGAATATAAAATAACTCAATGCATTGATGCATTTTACTTGGGTAGGTAGCTAGGAAAGATAAAGGTCAAAGGTCATGGCCAACAAATACATACTTTGAAAAACCCACTTTCAAATGTAGCTTTGCTTTATAAAATATTCTGAGCGCAGCTTTTAGTGTCACCATAAGAAATGGCAGTGAGCGTGGTTGGAGGGCCCTGGAGCTGCTGCTGTAATCACCATTAATTACATCCCTGCTTTTCCTGACATGACACTTCAAACTGTCGACTAATTCCTGCAACAACTTTGCCACAATAGCAGATGCAATAGAACATTCTTTTTTTTCTCCATATACAAAGAGACCTAAAAGAGCTGGAATGGTGAAGGCAGAAAACACAGACACACATTTTCTCCAAATACTTAAATTTTACAACTAAAAAGTAAATACCAGTTGTAAGGATAAATCATGGCTTATGTCATTTTATGTTTGCATACTGTTTATGGAAAAGATGTGAAACTGCCATAAAAACAGACCAGGATATCAATTTTTACAACTTAGTAATGAAGGTGCACTGTCATAATGGTATAAAATATAAAATTCCAATATAAGCTCTGTTCATTGCCGGCAATGGCCTTAACCACTTTATAAATATTCAGGTGAGAGATATCTCATCTAAAAACAATGGCACACTTGTTTTATTGTATTTTACAATGATATCACCTGACCTATATGAATACAGTATATGTGTTTATGTGTCAGCTCTGTGCGTAACTCTTAATATTTTCTCTCTGAGGAGAACCACCTCCCTACCAGTCAACCAACAGACGCATCTACAAAACAAACCAAGTCCCACTGAAGTCGGCTTCATACACGTGACCACAGTCTAACTGAAAATATTACTCATCCGCCGATGTTAGGTTTTCATGAGAGTATTATATGCAGAGAGTAGTTTTGTTTGTACCCTCCACATTTTTGATGCTGCAGCTGTCACAGGACAATGACAATGGCACTGAGTCAGACACCTCGAGCAGTGCTTTCTTGCTGACTCTCTTCAGATGATGACGTGTTGAATCAGAGAAATGACGGAGAAGGTCTTTCATCGTCTTTAATCTTGCATCGTCAAAAATAAGCTACATTTCAAGGAGATTCTGTTTCATCTGCATTTGTCTGTTAATTATTTTAGCAGGATTATGCAAAAAAATGTCTTACCAGGAAACTTTGTAGAAGGGTGGGTCAGCAAAGAACCCTTTAAATTTTAATGTGGAATTAAACATTTTCATTGATTTCTCAGAGAATCATTCATGAAAATAATCTGACATATTTAGGAGACTTATATTTATTTATATCTAAAAGAAATTATATCCGACACCTCATACGTCTTCAATCTTCACAAGTACTCTCTATCTGCAAATTGTTGTGCCCTCGTGTGGTTTTTGAACACATTACAAATTACATCACCTTCACCTCTCCACAAATTTGTTCTCTTGCTCTTATTCTTCTGCCGTCACTCTGAGCACAGAATCACAGCTGTGGAGCAAAACTACTAACAGATAATGTGATAAGGTTGAAGACAGCAGTTTGAGATTTTTATTGGTTTCTAGAACAAATAAGAGAAATCAATGTGCAGCTTCATCAGGATTCGCCCTGTGATCTGTGATTCTCTAACATCTTTTTGCAGGTGGAAACACGTCTCTTAGCCAAAAATAAGTTCAGTTAGGAAATAGCTTAATTGAATGGACTGTGTTTCCATGTTACCATCCATTCTACTGACTGCATTTACTTATTTCGATCAGAAGATGGCGCCCACAGCTCACTGTTGTGGAGATTAAAAAAAAGGAAAGTCAAGAAAGTAAAAGCAGTCAGCCTCTAACAGCAGGGATGAGGACACACTCTAAAACCTGGTGAAATGTGTCAACAGATATTGAATAACAATTATAACTCTTTTGGTTGGGAAAGGATTTTGATTGAGCATCTAAGAAACATTTTTTTGTGGGTTTTTCTATGACAAATTCGAGCTTGTATGATGCATAGTACTCACAGTGTTTGTTCTGCCTTGTCAGGACATTATCTCACCTTCATGCAGCAGCAGATCAAATCCCTCAGTGGGGGTGTGTAGGACAGTAGGGGAAGGTGTAGACCACTCATCTTGAGTAGTGCTGCACACATTCCAGAATGAACACACGGGACTGCATAGTCCGTAACATGAGAGCTGAGGAAGTGATAGAGCAACATTGATGCCTATTTCAGGCTGGACTCAGCCTCACAGCCCATTTAGATGACTTAAGGTGCAAATATTTTTTTATCAAGGTATAACATAAATATTATACAAAAAATATATAAAATCTATATATTTTTGACATGGAATGACATAATCTACATACTTGTAAAATGGCCTCTGTTGCTATATTTGTATAAAAGAGTAGTTGTGTTAACTAACATAGGATCCTATAGTGGAAATATGTCGTAGTCAAGCACAAAGTCCAGACATTTGGTGTAATAAGCCTTTATGTAAAGGGGAGGCTATCAGCCCCTTGTATGTTTACAAAAGGGTTCAGACAGAATAACTTCCTCGATTCTTTCATTTTAGACTCTTCCTTTTTAGGCAATGGGTCGCTGCCGTGGAGCCCCTCTTGGGATTCTGTGGGAATTCCTTAGCTGCTTTGCTCAGCAGTTGGTTTTCAATCCTCAAATATTGTTATTTCAGGGTGTGAGGTTGGGACGAAGGAGGAGTTGAAAAAATGTTGTGCCATGTTGGTCTGGACAACTCTTAACTAGGCTTTGTCCCGGGGTTGTAAACAACTGTGTGTGGTTTGTATTATTTATAATTAGTGACAAAGTAATCATCAATCATCATTTGGAAGAATAACACCATTAGAAGAAACCCACAGTGCTGTGGTGTGTCACCGACACTATCACATCCTGTTCTTTTTAACTGCACACAGTGAAACACATGTCCATTGATACATACTCAGCTGGCAAAGCTCACCTGAGACTAATGTTGATCAGTTTTACCAAAATACAGTTTAAAATCTCGACTTTATGGTCGTTTCAGAGGAAACAGTCTGTGCTGCTGTTTGCTGTTTACTGCATGCTGTAATTTGACATGCTGTGTTCAGAGTGAGCAGAAGTCTATTAGGATTATTATTATATTGTATTGTAGTGTTACAAATGGTTTGTTGAGAACCAACAATGTCCTTACTGATATTATTTTAAAGAACTGTACTTATACCATTTTCTTTTTACAGTATTGCATTGTGCTTGTAAAGGTTTTCATCTTGATATTCAAATACTTTTTACAGTAGCCCAAACTGGACAAACTAAATAAACTAAACATCTTTTGAGGTTTTTTTAAATCACAACTGAAAGTTACCACAGGGGAGGGTGAGGTGAGGGGTAGTCAGCTGCAACATGCAACTTCACCACTAGATGTCACTACATTCTTCACACTGTACCTTTAACTATTGTTCTTGTATTATCGTATCGTTATGGCACTATTTCTGTTGCTGCAGGAAGTCTATCAACATCTGGCACAAAGAGCACCTTACCGGATGTTGCATTCATGACTATGGTTCACGTGCATAGTCTCATTTTAGACTTTAGGAGATTTTAGAGTTTTCAGACAGATGTGAAACGTGATCTCTCATCGGTCACTCCGTGTGTGTGTCAGTGTGAAGTCTCCAGCTGCAGGAATCTCCTTCTCACAATCTGCACACACATATTTCCCTTTTTAGGGCATGAGAGTCTCTTACGTAATTTTGGGAGCAACTCGGATTTCCAGCGAACTGTGCAGGAGCGGGAGGCGGCGGAGGCGGAGCGACAGCCCGGTGGACCAATCGCTCGCCAGAGGAACCCGCCCTCCCGCTGGCTGATTGGCCACAGAGGACACCGACGCTCCTCGCCCCCCCCTGCCCTGGCTGGGAGTCCTTTCACGCGGATGGTTTGACGGGAGTAGTTGTAGTCCTCACACCGGATGGTCCAACTGTCCTGGAGGGAAAGAAACAAAAAACCCCACCGGGATATTGTGTTTTTTTAAAAAGCGTCTGTAGCGGGAGTGTTCGGGAGTAAACCGCCTCAAGTGTCGGGACATTTAATCCTTTCTCTGTCGGATCGCGCCCTGAAGTTGTCAACATGCCGGTTTTCCACACGAAGACGATAGAAAGTATCCTGGAGCCGGTGGCCCAGCAGATATCCCATCTGGTGATAATGCACGAAGAAGGGGAAGTGGACGGGAAAGCTATCCCGGACCTGACGGCGCCGGTGGCTGCCGTGCAGGCGGCTGTTAGCAACCTGGTCCGGGTGAGTAAACTTTCCCAACCGGGGGCGAAGAGTGCCTGAAGTCGGTTGTTTCCGAGCTACCTGTCGCTCTTTGTCCCGCTCTCAAAAAGGAAAAATAAAGTACAGAACAGTAGCTAGCTGTGGGGTAGAAACGTCAGGGGAGGTGGAGGCGTGCTAGCAAAGTTTCCTGAAGTAGTCACACTCGGGGCAAAAGGGCAGCTACGCCCTTTCC